ATGACTGGGTTTTGGTTCCGCCCTTTACTGCTAAAATTTCCCACTAATCATTGAGGCTTTTACGTTCGTGAAAACAAGTACTCTCAATGAACAGGCCCCCCCCCCCCCCTTTTGCCTTTTCACTCTGTCACATCTGTAAGGTTGCAACCTGGGATCCATATTTCGTTGTCCAAGTGATCCTTTATGTGGGTCTCAGCGAAAGCCGCGAACATTCCCTTTGCCTCTGCAAGCAGTCCACGGATGAAAGGTATTTTGTTGTTTGTTGCTGGCTTTAGACCCTTTTATAAATTGCAAAGAAGAATGTTATCGGACTGGTGGTTTTGGTTGGTACTGGGGGGGGGGGATTTTTTTTCCGGCATTAGTATCTGTATCTTTTGGTTTGGAGTGGAGGCCATCGACTGGGGTTCCACTCCAGAAATGATGGATTTGGTGTACGATTTCTGCCATTTCCTGCCAGTTTTTTTTCCTTCCTGGCACTAAAAAACCTCTCCCTCTTTAGTGGCTGTGGCTACCCAGGTTTTCCCATGGCCTGGATGTTTTGTATCTTTTTGTCCCCTTTAGATGATATGCTGGCAATTTAAGTTATAGCACAGTCTTTCCTGTACTGAAGAGGTACACAGTTCGGGGTTTGAAAAAGCTTACAGGAAGGGAGTTTGCGTTTTTCCTGTTTCATATGGGCATGGCATTTTCTGGGGTGGTCATATTTTGCACGTCCCATCTTTTTTTTCCAAAATTCCCATGCCAGCAGATACCGAGTGCATAGTATGTGCACAGGTTTGGGTTTTTCCGTTTGCCTTGGTTTCTGTGACTGTATTCCCTGTTGGTGCATGTTTCACTGCCCTTACTTCTATCCCCCTAGCACCAACAATGGAGCTCCCACCAGTTGTTTTTGGTAATATATCCTCATTTATTGCTAGGGGAGTCCTCTTGTTTGCTATTTCCTGCGGTATTTCTAGTTTTTTAATATTGGTTTTATCTTATCTTTGACTACACTTGTTTCCTACTATGGCTCTTGCCCTATGAGGTCATTTATATGTATTCCTTCCTGCGTATAATTCCCGACTAACTGGACAAAATCTCCAGCTTCACCATTACTGTCTCCCAGGACAGCATCTCCAGCTTCACCATACTGTCTCCCAGGACAGCACTATCAGCCCCACATTACTGACTACCCAGGACATCATCTCCAGCCTTACAGTTTTCTGACTACATGGCCATTTATCAAGGGCCATACCATTCAGCCCAGACATTTTATGTTCCCATCTGTTGTAGAAAGCTTCCAGGTTTTCTATGAAAGCAGCTTTGATGTTGACCTCTTTTAATACCCTTGTGATTTTAGTCCACAGATTTATCTCATTTGGGCATACCCAGAAAAAACTTCCCTGTTTTAATACTGCTTGTAGCTAGTTCTTGGATATCTGCACAAGGGGCGTGACACCAATTTCCACAAAAATGACAATTTATGCATGTGGAAGCCCGTTTGTTTGACTGACCACAGACTACACACAGCTTCATAGTGATTTGAATGGTTGATTTACTGCAATTCTACTAGCAACCCCTTTCTCCTGTACAGATTACTAAATTTAAAAAGAAAAACTTTCATTTTTCTTTTTTGGCCACCCTGCTTTGGTGGGATACAGCCGGTTTGTTGAAAAAAAAAAGTCGATACATTAAGATTTGAGACTGATGGGTGATGATTAAATCACGGGTATTTTCTCCTGAACACTCTCCATGATGTCGCGCCATTTCCCTCTCAGCGTTTATCATTATTCACTAATTTTACCACTATATTACAGTGGTCCCGTAAATCACATTCCCTCACTCTTCACCAAGAACAGTTACAATACTTCCTATTACAAAGTGAGACCTATTTTTATCCTTAGGCTGCCATGGATGCCAATTTCCTGGTCCCATTTTCTCCCAGCCTGTTAACTCCCATTCAAAACACTCCCGCCTCTCTACTCTCTCCCCCAGAGCATGCGCAGCTTCTTTGTTGGTTCACCTCTTCAAAATACCCTTTAGAGCAACAGTACAGAACAACAGATACAGATACTAATGCTGGAAAAAAAAAACCAGTACCAACAATACCACCAGTCCGATGACATTCTTCTTTGCAAATATACAGGGTCTAAAGCCAGCAACAAACAACAAAATACCTTTCATCCGTGGACTGCTTGCAGAGGCAAAGGCAATGTTCGCGGCTTTCACTGAGACCCACATAAAGGATCACTTGGACAACGAAATATGGATCCCAGGTTACAGCCTATACAGATGCAACAGAGTGAACAGGCAAAAGGGGGGGGTTGGCCTGTACATTGCAGAGTCACTTGTTTGCACAGAACTGCTGAATGCCTCAAATGATGTAGTGGAAGTTTTAGCAGTAAAGATCGAGAACCAAAACCTAGTCATTGTGGTAGTCTACAAGCCTCCGGATGCAACATCCCAGCAATTCCAGGAACAGCTGCTAAAAATTGACCACTGTCTGGAAAATCTGCCAGCTCCTGCTCCCAACATCTTGCTCCTGAGGGATTTCAACTTAAGGCACCTAAAATGGAGGAATATAGCAAATAATATTGTTGCAGTAATAACACCAGGAGGCAGCTCTGATGAAAACTCATACTCACACGAGCTTTTAAATCTCTGCACAAAATTCAATTTAAACCAGCAAATAATAGAGCCTACTAGACTGGAGAATACACTAG